GTAGATAACTTAGCTTTCAATTTTCTATGAACAATACTTCCATTTAGTTGTTGAAAAAATATAAGACCTAACAAAAAACTTGGAAGTTGATTTCTAGGTTCTCTGCTCAATAAAATTGAACATCGATTCTTATATTCTCTACTTAATGAAATAATTATAATATTACCTTCCGGAAAAAGACGCAGTTGTAGTACTAGGTCTATTTAGGTGGAAGCTAATTTGAACTTTTATGCAAAAAGTAAGTGTATTTGGATGTTAGTGATTGTAGTACTTTTATAAAGTAAACTTTGTGCTTTGATGAAAGAATTATTTATTGAAATAAATACCAATTATTTAAAATCAAATAAAATTTGATGAGAAAATCATATGATTACGAATGGAAGAAAGTAGAAAACAAAGATGAAGATATTGTCTCAATTTATTTGTAACATAGGAAACTCAGCCAAATCGATTGAGTTTCGCAAGATACATTCATAAGTTTTAGACATCAAGAAACTCAACCAATTGACCAATATTAGAAATTTCACAAATGAGACATTAGTTAAGATGTCTAATTAGCTATTTATTTATCTTTTAAGAGAGAGATTCTCTCCATGACTTACATTTTCCTTTAATTTTGCTATTATAAACTATTACAGAGGTACTCTATATAACTTCTCTTTTCCTATAATTAATTATTAATTTTTCATTAATCTTGGTTAACAGAAGACATTGAATTTTTTTTGGGTTAAAAATTTGTCATAGTGTAACGCTCTAAAATTCACCTTGGACGACATTACTATCTAAAACTATTCACATCATGAGAACAATTAAAATAATCCACAAGTAAATAAGATTTCATTCATCATTCATAATATTTACAATATCATCCAAAAGAATATGTCAAACCAAGGTAATTACATCCCCAAAAATTAACTATTAACTTGCAGCGGAATAACAAAAATATTAGTTTTTCATTATTTCAAAATGAATCTCTTAGTCTAGAACATAAAAAAAACAATTATAAACATCCCCTTCCGGATCCACATGCCCATCAACTTGAGTTTCCCAAATCACCTGCTCGTCAACTCGGAACTCTTCCTCTAAACTGAAATCTGAAAATAAGTATTGTTTGTAAGGGGGTGAGCATTAAGCTCTGTAGGAAAATCCTCCTAAACTTGGATAAAGTTTTGAAAACATATAAAACAAGTCGATCTCATTTAATAAATATCATATATAACCTTTGAAAGAAAACAGTGACATTCGATCTCAAGTTTACACAATCTCGATAGATAAAACCAATTCTAACAATAAACCATTTCCACAACATTACCAATAACCCACAACTTGTACCATTACCTACAACGTATATCAAACCACAACTTATATCTTTCACAACATTATGTATATGAATCGGTACTTGTATCTCAGGTATGATGTATGACATCACATGAATAAACATATCAAGATTATCCTAGCCCGCCCACACACACACACACCCAATCGTCTCAAGGATACTCAATCTTTAGGAAAGACGTATACCAACGCATTGGCAGAGACAATCCAACCTAGACTAATCCTCAGCTTCAATTTCATGCGAGTGAATAATAGTTTGGTCCTCACAAGGCACTAACCCCACTACAAGTGATATGAAACCTTTAAACCCACACCGAGTAAAAAATGTATCTAACCCACTCTATGATATCCGGTCAACGGCCACCCATGGTCATCCAAACATCCACAAGAGATACAACACAACCCAACACCTCAAATTACAAGCAAAATCTAAAAATTTCCAAATTTCACATGTAATATTCTAAGAGAACAATTTAAGAAAATATGCAAGAGATCATTAAAAATTTCATTTTTATTGTTCATTACTAAACACTAGAATTTTTAAATCAAGAACAAAAGAAAAATCTAGAGAAGAATTCATTCCTCTTGAAAACGAGGGTTTTATGACAAGAAAATGAGATTTCATGGCTATCTCACATGACTTTGTTTAGAACATGGTAATATTTGCAAGAATATCAAGAATCAATGATTTCATAGCATATACATATAGGATCTTGAAGCAAAACATACATAGATATAACCTTAGCCTCAATGTACAAGAATGGAAGAAAACTCGTACCTTACTTCCTCAGTTTTGAGTGAAGAAGATGAAGATTTAATCTTTTCCAACTTGAATCAACCATTGAATCTCTTGTTTTTCCCCTTCTTTCTTCCTCTCTAAGCCTCTCTAGAGTTAAGAATGTTAAAATGAGGCTAAAGAGAGTGTCTTTAAGTATTTATGGGGTGAGAAATGACCTCCTGTGCGCGATTCTGAAACTCATAATCCATAAGCCACGTTCGAACGTCAATAGTGCAAATTATTAATTCACGTTTGAAAATCACTTGGCGTTCGAACGTTAGTTGCTCCCAGTACTTTTGCATTTCCATCAGAACTCTACAGAAACCAAAGTACTGGAACTCACTGTCGTTCGAACATCGATTCACGTTTGAACGTCATCCCAGTTTCTGCAAAAATTTCCAGTGAAGTTTTGACCTATTTAGAGATCGATTTGAAAATTTTTCATGACATACACTTTTGTAGCCCTAGAAGTCTACTATCTATTGTAAAAATTTCAGATCAAATGGACATCAGAATAAAAGGTTATGATCCAAATTTTGTCTAAAATGTGTTCACTCCGAAATACTTCTAAACTTCTACAATATGTCATATTAACTCAACTAACATTTTTATTTCTACTCTTACAATCCACATAGTTCAGACATATATTATTACATATAGTAGCATTTCAAAAATAATTATATTGCTATATTAAGATAAGCATGTGGGGGTTTACACATAGGTCAAGAGTTATTTTTGTATTCTATTATATGGGTAATGATGAAATTATACAGAATTTCCAATATATATAAATGTTAACAAAACAACACTAAACTTCTCTTTGGGTACAATTCTTATTTTGCTATTGCTAACCACTCAAACAGTTTGGAGTGATAACAAACTTGGATTATAGACAATCAAATTCAATTAAAGGAACACTCTACTTAAGTTGAGTTTTATTATTCCTCTTTTAAATTATTAGGTTAATTTAAGTCTATTATGCCATGACAAAAAAGAAAGAATGTTTGATTGATTTTGTGACAATTAGGGGTGTTCACTCTACACTACGGGTAGGAAATATAGTTTTCCACCTTCCTACTAAATATTTTGCGGAAGAATTTTTTTTACTCTACCCTACCCGATCAGGTGTGGTATTCCTACTCAACTTCCTACCCGATTAATCGGGTAAACACTTTTGTAGTTATTAATTTTTGGATTATTTTAACAATTTAATTAAATAACATACACCAATTTAACAACACAATAAATCAATAACACTAAAACCTAAAACAACTATAACAACAATTATAATAAAACACAAGAAATCATGAACATCTATTCATCATAATTGTTACACAAATACAATAACAATTATTTTAAATTTAAAGTATATAAAACACACTAAAATCATAACAGCTCTAATAGATCATTAGTTCACCACAAATCATGGAACCTACACAAAAAATAAGTCTATATTTTAGCAACTAAAACATCCACAACAATGATAATGTTATAACATAAATTATACCACACAAATACTCTTATAATTACTAAAAAAATTATAAAAAAGTTAAATATATTTTTTGCGGGTAGGGTAGGGTAGGAATGCAGAAATTAATGAGTATTTCGTATTCCTACCGAATTTAATCGGAAGACCAAAAACTTTTTTGCATTCCTACCCGATTTTTGCGGCTAACTATTCAGTAGGATAGGATAGGGTCGCGTAGGGTAAGAAATTACAGCCAATCAGAAATTTGAACACCCTTAGTGACAATAGTGCAACAATAATAGTTATCACCCACGCAACATACTCACGCAATAGTCGGAGAATATGATGACAAACGCAAATGCTCAAATGTATGCAAGGAATATCTCCTCTAAGAAGTAGAAAGTCAGAGTAAGGTTCTCAAGATAAAAAATGATGCATCAAGAAGGGGTCCAAGAGCAAATTAAAAATATTCAAACTTGAAGATGAGAAGTTCTTGAATTACCTAAATTAACATGTGATAATTCTCATTTTGGTTTTATTAAACTTATCCAAATCATGAGTTTATTGGTGGACTATTGATTCTAATTCTTGGTTATTGACTATCTGCTTAATTATTTTTCGTGACTACTAAATAATGTATACCTCCTAATTTATAGTCGACATTTAACTAGCGCGAGAGTTTAAAAACTTGTCTACAAAAGTTGATAAAGACACGACAAATTTGTATGATTTATTGGAGTTCATGATTTTTAACATTAACAATGAGTAATATTTGATGCTCAAAATGGTCCATGTGCAACGCACGTGTGTACTAACTAGTAATAAAAAAAAATTGTATCGTATAACTCACACATTGAAATTTAGAACAAAATGGTCCTTCTAATTGTTTTTATCAATTCACTTTAGCCTAAATTTCTTTATACATACGCTAATCTTAAACCCAAAAAGACTTTATAATAAAAAAAAAATTATACCTTTTATGATAAAATTAGAAAAATAAATTGGTAATTCCTTAGAGTCGTACCTTTATCTTTTGGGAATGCCTTAATTTTGCCGTGAATGATTTATTTTTGATCGAATTAAAAAAAAATAATTAAGGTACGTAAAGCGGTCCAAATATAACCAAAAAATTAAAAATTAAAAAAGCGAATCCAAACTGTGCCTTATTTTGGTGAGTCACAACAACTGCGACGAGGCAAAAACCGAATACAAGCCTTGGTACGATTTGGATCACACAACACCTTCACAGTAAGGTCACCTATACACACTCCTACCACGAGAGAGATAGAGAGACAACAATCAGAATTCAGAAGCTTTCATGGCTTTCACTTTACGCACCTTTCCACTGATGTAGTATTTGATACAGTACCTCTGCTTATTCTGTCTCTCACACTGTTTGTTTGTTTGTTTCTCTGTTCGATGGCTGATGTTGTTCGATTATCTTTCAATTCACTACGGTTCTATTCTTCTCTGTTGACCTCCTTGTCGTCGTCGTCGTCTTTGAATTCTTTCCAACCGAGTCTTCCACACAATCAAAGGTTATGCAAGAAAATTTTCTCCAGTGCCGATTCTTGTTCTGCTACCGTTGATTTTGTCCCTCGCTTTGCCTTCAGTCCCCACAAGCAAGTAAAATCGTTCAAGGTAAAGATGTGAAATTTTTCGAATTTGTTTGTCTTTAACAATTACTATCTGTTTAGTGGCGGAGAAAACGAAGTTCGTACAGTCATAAATTTTGGATTTTTTTGTTAATATTTTGAATTTTAGATCACTTTAAGTTGAAATTGAATGAGAAGATCAATTCTACTAGGCCAATTCGTGGGATTTACCTCAGTGAAGTCGAGATTTTAGTGTTCCCATGTCCGTAGTTACGGAAAATTAAATGTGTAGAAAATATTATCTTTCCTAGAAGCAAGAGGGTTTCCTTTGGCTTTCTTTCCCGATTGAAATTTTGGGCGACCCATTTTTGTCAGAAGTGCTGAATTACGATCATTACTGTACAATTGGGATGTTTTTGTATGGATATTCTAATTTGACATTGAGTGAATGTATGAAATATTACAAATTTTATTTCGAAATGGCCGAAACATATGAAACTTTTATTTTTCCATAGAAACCAAAATGAATCAGTATTTTTGTGGCGTTTTGTTATGATGTTTCAGAATATTTCGCAAATCACTGTTCAATTTTTTTTTTGTGTTTCCAAAATATTTTTGAATCGTTTTCTTTACTAAGCTGGCTGAAACTGTGCAACGAAACGATATTTTGTTTCTTTTCACAGGTTAGGTCTCATTGTAATCTTGGGTGTTTTGCTTGTCAGAGAATGCTGCTTTCTTAAACTATTGTAATTCAGGCAGAATTCAAAAAAATAAAAAGAATTGCTTCATTCTAAAGGTCATACAAACATGGCCTTTCTTTTATCAATTGTTTTGCAAATACCCTCATGAAGACTGAATCTTGTTTGTGTTTTGTTGGTTTTCCTTGATTTTCTTGACATTTAGGTTCTCCTATGGTTTGGTGCATTTATGATTTTACATGTAACTATTCCTTCTTCGAAGCTGATTCATCTTGGTCTCTTGTAACAATTTAATTGAGAGACATGCTTGACCACATTGTTGACTTTTACTGTGGTTCATATGATTTAAAGTAGATAAATTAGCTTGAGTAAAGAACGTAGAACGCTAGTTCAAAAGTATTTTTGAGCCTAAACTTAGACCAAAAGCTCGAGAGTTAGATGTTCTGTCTGCAGGAAGAACAAAAATTGAACAAAATTAATGCTCAGAATTGACTCAAAGGAAACCTAATTTCTGGCCAACTTAGTGTAGATACGTCAAGATTAACTTCAAAATATGTCAGTCAATATGGGCTGTTCATGGCTGGGCATCTGAACTCTCTATGTTGCTCTAAAACAAGAATACCATACCTTCTCCAATTCATCTATGTCTGGTCCCAGCCTGGTACTGTCATCTGGCTCTAAGAGTAAGAGGTTGCCTCCAGTAGAACTTCCATGTTAATTCGTGTGTGTATGGTGGACCATCTTTGACACCCAAGTGCTTACTAATCTAAAACACCGGAAAAGGAGGAAGAGAAGAGTGTAAGATGTTGCTGGCACACTCTTCACTCTTCCTTGGACTCAGCCGCTGAATTTATTCTATCCAATGAATTCCTCTGTGTCTTGGAGTATTAGCTGATCAAAAGAATATCCATTAATATTCGTTGTTTCTGTATTCATGAAAATCTAGCAATGACAGCTTTTTCTAAGGTCTTTTATGTTCCTCTGTTGGATTTAGGTACATGCAACTGTTGCTGAAACTGAGCAGCCAAAATGGTGGGACAAAAATGCAGGACCAAATATGATAGATATTCATTCTACACAAGAATTTTTGGGTGCTTTGAGTCAAGCTGGAGATAGACTAGTTATTGTTGAATTTTATGGAACATGGTGTGCTTCTTGCCGAGCATTATTTCCCAAGGTAATTTTAGTTACTTGTCCATTCATCTGTCAATGTCAATATTTTTGTTGATCCTTGACAAAAATATGCCCTCAATGTAGTATATATATTTTGTGCGTTCAATTATTTTTTAAAGCAATATGTCATAGGAATACAGTCTTGAAATGTAGCTTTTGATACATGGACCTGTAGCTAACATTTTCTGGAAAATAACATTTTTAATGAGTATTGACCAAGTATATTTATATAAAAGAGCTTATCCTAGATATTCCAGCCATGGCCATGTCCCCATTTTCAGCTTTGGAAAAAAAGTATTCTGCAGCAAGTCTGTGTTTCAAAATTAATAGGTCTGATAATATATTGTCTTGGGTTTTCAGCTTTGCAAAACTGCTCAGGAACACCCTGAAATCGTATTCCTGAAGGTCAATTTTGATGAAAATAAGCCGATGTGCAAAAATTTGAATGTAAAGGTTCTTCCTTATTTCCATTTTTATCGCGGAGCCGATGGACAACTGGAATCCTTTTCCTGTTCACTCGCCAAGGTACGAAAATATTCTTTTAAACATACTCTATTTTTGGTTAGTTCCCCCCATTTTGATGTGTGTACTTGCCTTTGTTTTCATGTATTTTTAACATCGTGTGAAGCCCTCCAGTTTTATGAAGCCCTCTTTTTAATGCTTCTTTTTTCGGCAATTGGTCAATGTACTCCTTGGAGGGAATGAATAGGTTGTAATTGGAACTTGCGTATTCTTGATGACTAGTTTAACTCTGTGAAAGGGAATGGGACATCAAACGGTTGTGGGTTACATTGCCCAATTTTTAATACTTTTTTTGATCAGTCCCATTTTGGATATGCAAGATATTAGAGATCAAATCAAACCATCATCCATGGATTTGTATCTATTACCAATAAACTAATAGGTCTGCGTGAGGATTGAATTGTGACTGACAGCACTTGCTATGCTTTGATAGTAAAAAGCATAAAAAGATTGACTGCTGATGCTCTGCTTAAATCTCTTTGCAGTTTCAGAAAATAAAGGATGCTATTGAATTGCATAACACTGCTCGTTGTAGTATCGGTCCTCCTAAAGATGTTGGAGATCTTAACTTTGAAACGCCATCTGTTCCAAAGGATGAACAGTCAGGGTCTTCTTCAACGTAGGACTTTCCTTGATTCACGCAACTGTTTATACTTTTATCTGTTGTGCTCCAATGAACCATGATAGCGAGCTATTTATTATTGTTTCTGTATATGTTCGTTTCCTTCTTGAAAGAATTCTACGCGGTTGCCATCCTGATGCAGTCTTTGTCATCGTTGTTCAAGTTTTGATGTGGTGTACTAAATTTTATATGGAAATGAGTCAAGGTTGTCTTTTTAATTTAGTTGATCACCCTAGTTTTTCCTCGCCAAAGAATAGTTTCGTTACATTTGGAAAATTTATGTGGAATGGATTGCTCATATCAGATAGATTTTCAAAAAAAATCCTGTATTTGTTGTGACAGTGGATACACCGGGGGCATGTTTGTTTGAAAGACAATGGTGGTGGTATAAGATGGTGGAATTAGTGAAAATAGTACGTGGGGTTTAGTAATACCTTTTTTTTTTTTTTTTTTTTTTTTTCCGTGTGATATTATTTTTTGGATCACAATACCAACACGCTCATTACGGTCACCAAAACTCATGTACATGGGCTTATATAATACCAAATGGGAGGTGGTATTATTTTTTAGATTTTGGCCACCAACGGTATTAAGGAAGTTAATGATTGAATTACATATCACTTTTTAATATTAGTATGAGATTTGGCTATCAGCGGTTTTTTTGTTTTTTAATTTTATTAATTTTTTTTTTTAAAATTTTGATTTTGATTTTTTTTTTATATTATATTTAAGCGTATATATCACGGTTTTTTTTTTTAATTTTTAAAAAAAAATTATTTTGAATTTTTTTTTGATATTATGTTTAAGTGGACGATATCATCGATTTTTCAATTTTTTTCTTCGTATTATGTTTAAGCATACAATGTCACTGGTTTTTTTTTTTTAAAAATATTATAAATTTTTTCTTTGTATAATGTTTAACCGTACAATGTCACTGATTCATAGTATCAGATTCTTTATATTTTATGTGAATTTTTTATATTATCTAGAATTTTTTAGGTATGAATTGTCGTACCATATATAACACCAAACATTATGCAAAAACGTTACACAAACGAAATAATGGAATGAATGTGTTAAGGATAAAATTTGTATATTTGTTTATATATAAGATGTGATTAAATAAATAATTATTTATAAAACTTATTATAGTATCTATTGAACTAACAAATCCTCTAGCAAATTAGAATATTTTTTATTACTGATTCGTCAATACCATGCATAGGAATCCTCAAAACAAACATGCCGAGAGGGATAATAGTCCTGCCCTGCACGTGGATTGATGAATTAACATGACATGACTTATAGTCCTATAGAGGATTCCGGAGTTTTACGCTTCTACCCAGAAGAAACAGAATTTGAATAAAAAAAAGAAGTCAAAAGTGGCATCTCAAATTTAAAGATTGCTTTAGGAAAATTATCTTATAATTCTTCTGCCTATCAAAGCATAGGCCCCAGCGGGTCAACCTGCACTTGGTTGGGTCAGTTCCTAGACGGTTTGTAAAAACAAAGGGATCCACACGGGTTTACAACAAACCGTGAACCCGGAAGGTTTTTCAAAAATCTGCAACCCTCTGATGTATCGTCGCTCTTCGTCATTCACGGTGAAGATCGTTTCCCACTCGCCATCTCTCACTCAGCCACTCTCCAGGTAATAGCTATGATCTCTCTCACCTCACAGTCTCACTCTCATAGCCTCATCTGTCTCTCTTAGTTGCCTTCCTCCGTGCAGCAATCTCACAGGCCACAATTCATGCCGGATTTGCAAAAGCAATAATCTGGGCACGTATACGGATCAAACACAAACGTAGCGTACATAGATTGGTGTAATTAGAGGTAGAAATTGAAGGTTGAGCTAATTACTGAGGTAGAGATAGTATGAACAAAAATTGCGAAGTGAAGAAGGGAACTCACTAAAATCAAACAGTAACTGTTTGTGAAAATGCCAAAGCGATTTTACTTCCAATTTCTCCCAACAAAGAGAAATATTGCTCATAAAGAATGTTGTTTTGAACTTTTAACAAAAAACTCTATCGGTAAATGACTTTAAGTTACGCTAATCTGGTAAAGTCACTCTTAGCAGACTCACCCCTCGCTAATGACCCTCCTTGTCCAACACCAAAACCTTTTCCTCGTTTTTGAACTGTTTCTCTTTTCTGGCCTGCGATATGAAATTATTCTTGGGACAATTTTGTATCGCTACTTTATGCTGGTTATATGTTTGTAGAAATGCCCAAATTGTTAAAATACCTTAGATAACCGTATACTTGTTTGTGTGTGTGTGTTTGTTGTATTGAACATTTTGTCATTCAATGTTTACAACTTTTATGGGACTATGTGTTGGTGGCACAACGGTGAACTGTTTACTGCTCCTTGTACCTCCCCCAGAATCCGTTTCTTATTATTGATAATAGGAAGTTTCCTTTGTGCAGCTCTGCAGCGGAACTGAGGAAGGGTTGTGACAATGTCGAGCTATTTGTGGAGGAAATATGCGGATTATGTGTACTCAAAGTGGGAGAAAACAATTCTCTGGGACATGATTGACCCATATAGGCGGCCCAAATCATTCACTCCACTTGTCACGATCTATATTTTCGCTTTCTATACTGGTATCATTGGATCAGCTATAACAGAACAACTATACAAGGTATTATTGTACCACAGTATGAAAAAACTGACGTGAATTGAATTCATTATATGTAGTTAAACTCCCCAATTGCTTGGGTCTTGGACTCTTGGGTACTTGGCTTTATATGTATGTTGAATATAGTGCAAGTGAACCAGAACTGGTATGATGATCATTCATCAAGGTTCTCTTAGGATATTTCTCAGCTTTCTGCCTGCTAAAACAGGATTAAAACCTTCTCAAGTGTGGTGATTCCTTTTCTTTTCTTTTCTTTTCCTCCCCACTTTCCCGAGTTGTGTGGATAAGATGAGTATAGAATTAGGACTTGCCTCCACATATTTGGATGAGGCTTGGGATCAGTTCAGAACAAAAGTGGCCTCACTTCTTTTATTGTTCCCTTTTTCGTATTTGTTTAAAGTGAAGACGGGGGCACTCACTTTTACTTCTTGTTTGGATGTCCCTGTGAAACCAAAGCGGGAGAATTAACCTTCTCCAAATTGCGCTGTTGACCTTTCTCAGCCCCCTCATATAAGTAATTTATAAGTAATTTCATCTAGAAGGCTTTAGTGTCTAAATTTTTGTCATCATTTAATTTACTTGATTTAAAGTAGAAAGCTTCATGATAAGGTTTTCTCTCTTGGGAGTGATGGCCATTTTTGGCATAAGTGGCTCAGTCATATCATTCTGTGCTTACTATTTTTATTGTGGAGTTTAAGGGAAGATCTTGTTGAATATAGTATATGAGACAGTTGGGTTTATGTACAAAATACTTTGGAACACTGCTTTCCATCTATTTCACAATGGGATTGTGTTTTGTGTTATTCCCAGGACTTTAGAAATTTTATGTTCACTACTTAGTTGTTTATTTAATGACTGCAATGCCCACTCTCTAACTCTAATGTAAGCATTATACTTTCATTGCACGGAGCAGGAGAAATACTGGGAAGATCACCCCGGGCAAACAGTACCTCTAATGAAACCCAAGTTCTATGGAGGCCCTTGGAAGATAATGAGGGGAGAGGTTCCTTCGCCCGCGCCCAATCAGCAATAGCTCTAAGCAGCCAGTTGGACACCTGCACTCATCTTTCTTCACAACAGATGGTTGTGTATATCAGGATAAGTATCATCTTCTATTTTGTTAAGGGAACATAACTATGTTTTAGNTTTAAAATTTTGATTTTGATTTTTTTTTTATATTATATTTAAGCGTATATATCACGGTTTTTTTTTTTAATTTTTAAAAAAANAAAAAGAATGTTTGATTGATTTTGTGACAACTAAGGGTGTTCACTCTACCCTACGGGTAGAAAATATAGTTTTCCACCTTCCTACTAAATATTTTGCGGAAGAATTTTTTTTACTCTACCCTACTCGATCAGGTGTGGTATTCCTACTCAACTTCCTACCCGATTAATCGGGTAAACACTTTTGTAGTTATTAATTTTTGGATTATTTTAACAATTTAATTAAATAACATACACCAATTTAACAACACAATAAATCAATAACACTAAAACCTAAAACAACTATAACAACAATTATAATAAAACACAAGAAATCATGAACATCAATTCATCATAATTGTTACACAAATACAATAACAATTATTTTAAATTTAAAGTATATAAAACACACTAAAATCATAACAGCTCTAATAGATCATTAGTTCACCACAAATCATGGAACCTACACAAAAAACAAGTCTATATTTTAGCAACTAAAACATCCACAACAATGATAATGTTATAACATAAATTATACCACACAAATACTCTTATAATTACTAAAAAAATTATAAAAAAGTTAAATATATTTTTTGCGGGTAGGGTAGGGTAGGAATGCAGAAATTAATGAGTATTTCGTATTCCTACCGAATTTAATCGGAAGACCAAAAACTTTTTTGCATTCCTACCCGATTTTTGCGGCTAACTATTCAGTAGGATAGGATAGGGTCGCGTAGGGTAAGAAATTACAGCCAATCAGAAATTTGAACACCCTTAGTGACAATAGTGCAACAATAATAGTTATCACCCACGCAACATACTCACGCAATAGTCGGAGAATATGATGACAAACGCAAATGCTCAAATGTATGCAAGGAATATCTCCTCTAAGAAGTAGAAAGTCAGAGTAAGGTTCTCAAGATAAAAAATGATGCATCAAGAAGGGGTCCAAGAGCAAATTAAAAATATTCAAACTTGAAGATGAGAAGTTCTTGAATTACCTAAATTAACATGTGATAATTCTCATTTTGGTTTTATTAAACTTATCCAAATCATGAGTTTATTGGTGGACTATTGATTCTAATTCTTGGTTATTGACTATCTGCTTAATTATTTTTCGTGACTACTAAATAATGTATACCTCCTAATTTATAGTCGACATTTAACTAGCGCGAGAGTTTAAAAACTTGTCTACAAAAGTTGATAAAGACACGACAAATTTGTATGATTTATTGGAGTTCATGATTTTTAACATTAACAATGAGTAATATTTGATGCTCAAAATGGTCCATGTGCAACGCACGTGTGTACTAACTAGTAATAAAAAAAAATTGTATCGTATAACTCACACATTGAAATTTAGAACAAAATGGTCCTTCTAATTGTTTTTATCAATTCACTTTAGCCTAAATTTCTTTATACATACGCTAATCTTAAACCCAAAAAGACTTTATAATAAAAAAAAAATTATACCTTTTATGATAAAATTAGAAAAATAAATTGGTAATTCCTTAGAGTCGTACCTTTATCTTTTGGGAATGCCTTAATTTTGCCGTGAATGATTTATTTTTGATCGAATTAAAAAAAAATAATTAAGGTACGTAAAGCGGTCCAAATATAACCAAAAAATTAAAAATTAAAAAAGCGAATCCAAACTGTGCCTTATTTTGGTGAGTCACAACAACTGCGACGAGGCAAAAACCGAATACAAGCCTTGGTACGATTTGGATCACACAACACCTTCACAGTAAGGTCACCTATACACACTCCTACCACGAGAGAGATAGAGAGACAACAATCAGAATTCAGAAGCTTTCATGGCTTTCACTTTACGCACCTTTCCACTGATGTAGTATTTGATACAGTACCTCTGCTTATTCTGTCTCTCACACTGTTTGTTTGTTTGTTTCTCTGTTCGATGGCTGATGTTGTTCGATTATCTTTCAATTCACTACGGTTCTATTCTTCTCTGTTGACCTCCTTGTCGTCGTCGTCGTCTTTGAATTCTTTCCAACCGAGTCTTCCACACAATCAAAGGTTATGCAAGAAAATTTTCTCCAGTGCCGATTCTTGTTCTGCTACCGTTGATTTTGTCCCTCGCTTTGCCTTCAGTCCCCACAAGCAAGTAAAATCGTTCAAGGTAAAGATGTGAAATTTTTCGAATTTGTTTGTCTTTAACAATTACTATCTGTTTAGTGGCGGAGAAAACGAAGTTCGTACAGTCATAAATTTTGGATTTTTTTGTTAATATTTTGAATTTTAGATCACTTTAAGTTGAAATTGAATGAGAAGATCAATTCTACTAGGCCAATTCGTGGGATTTACCTCAGTGAAGTCGAGATTTTAGTGTTCCCATGTCCGTAGTTATGGAAAATTAAATGTGTAGAAAATATTATCTTTCCTAGAAGCAAGAGGGTTTCCTTTGGCTTTCTTTCCCGATTGAAATTTTGGGCGACCCATTTTTGTCAGAAGTGCTGAATTACGATCATTACTGTACAATTGGGATGTTTTTGTATGGATATTCTAATTTGACATTGAGTGAATGTATGAAATATTACAAATTTTATTTCGAAATGGCCGAAACATATGAAACTTTTATTTTTCCATAGAAACCAAAATGAATCAGTATTTTTGTGGCGTTTTGTTATGATGTTTCAGAATATTTCGCAAATCACTGTTCAATTTTTTTTGTGTGTTTCCAAAATATTTTTGAATCGTTTTCTTTACTAAGCTGGCTGAAACTGTGCAACGAAACGATATTTTGTTTCTTTTCACAGGTTAGGTCTCATTGTAATCTTGGGTGTTTTGCTTGTCAGAGAATGCTGCTTTCTTAAACTATTGTAATTCAGGCAGAATTCAAAAAAAAAAAAAGAATTGCTTCATTCTAAAGGTCATACAAACATGGCCTTTCTTTTATCAATTGTTTTGCAAATACCCTCATGAAGACTGAATCTTGTTTGTGTTTTGTTGGTTTTCCTTGATTTTCTTGACATTTAGGTTCTCCTATGGTTTGGTGCATTTATGATTTTACATGTAACTATTCCTTCTTCGAAGCTGATTCATCTTGGTCTCTTGTAACAATTTAATTGAGAGACATGCTTGACCACATTGTTGACTTTTACTGTGGTTCATATGATTTAAAGTAGATAAATTAGCTTGAGTAAAGAACGTAGAACGCTAGTTCAAAAGTATTTTTGAGCCTAAACTTAGACCAAAAGCTCGAGAGTTAGATGTTCTGTCTGCAGGAAGAACAAAAATTGAACAAAATTAATGCTCAGAATTGACTCAAAGGAAACCTAATTTCTGGCCAACTTAGTGTAGATACGTCAAGATTAACTTCAAAATATGTCAGTCAATATGGGCTGTTCATGGCTGGGCATCTGAACTCTCTATGTTGCTCTAAAACAAGAATACCATACCTTCTCCAATTCATCTATGTCTGGTCCCAGCCTGGTACTGTCATCTGGCTCTAAGAGTAAGAGGTTGCCTCCAGTAGAACTTCCATGTTAATTCGTGTGTGTATGGTGGACCATCTTTGACACCCAAGTGCTTACTAATCTAAAACACCGGAAAAGGAGGAAGAGAAGAGTGTAAGATGTTGCTGGCACACTCTTCACTCTTCCTTGGACTCAGCCGCTGAATTTATTCTATCCAATGAATTCCTCTGTGTCTTGGAGTATTAGCTGATCAAAAGAATATCCATTAATATTCATTGTTTCTGTATTCATGAAAATCTAGCAATGACAGCTTTTTCTAAGGTCTTTTATGTTCCTCTGTTGGATTTAGGTACATGCAACTGTTGCTGAAACTGAGCAGCCAAAATGGTGGGACAAAAATGCAGGACCAAATATGATAGATATTCATTCTACACAAGAATTTTTGGGTGCTTTGAGTCAAGCTGGAGATAGACTAGTTATTGTTGAATTTTATGGAACATGGTGTGCTTCTTGCCGAGCTTTATTTCCCAAGGTAATTTTAGTTACTTGTCCATTCATCTGTCAATGTCAATATTTTTGTTGATCCTTGACAAAAATATGCCCTCAATGTAGTATATATATTTTGTGCGTTCAATTATTTTTTAAAGCAATATGTCATAGGAATACAGTCTTGAAATGTAGCTTTTGATACATGGACCTGTAGCTAACATTTTCTGGAAAATAACATTTTTAATGAGTATTGACCAAGTATATTTATATAAAAGAGCTTATCCTAGATATTCCAGCCATGGCCATGTCCCCATTTTCAGCTTTGGAAAAAAAGTATTCTGCAGCAAGTCTGTGTTTCAAAATTAATAGGTCTGATAATATATTGTCTTGGGTTTTCAGCTTTGCAAAACTGCTCAGGAACACCCTGAAATCGTATTCCTGAAGGTCAATTTTGATGAAAATAAGCCGATGTGCAAAAATTTGAATGTAAAGGTTCTTCCTTATTTCCATTTTTATCGCGGAGCCGATGGACAACTGGAATCCTTTTCCTGTTCACTCGCCAAGGTACGAAAATATTCTTTTAAACATACTCTATTTTTGGTTAGTTCCCCCCATTTTGATGTGTGTACTTGCCTTTGTTTTCATGTATTTTTAACATCGTGTGAAGCCCTCCAGTTTTATGAAGCCCTCTTTTTAATGCTTCTTTTTTCGGCAATTGGTCAATGTACTCCTTGGAGGGAATGAATAGGTTGTAATTGGAACTTGCGTATTCTTGATGACTAGTTTAACTCTGTGAAAGGGAATGGGACATCAAACGGTTGTGGGTTACATTGCCCAATTTTTAATACTTTTTTTAATCAGTCCCATTTTGGATATGCAAGATATTAGAGATCAAATCAAACCATCATCCATGGATTTGTATCTATTACCAATAAACTAATAGGTCTGCGTGAGGATTGAATTGTGACTGACAGCACTTGCTATGCTTTGATAGTAAAAAGCATAAAAAGATTGACTGCTGATGCTCTGCTTAAATCTCTTTGCAGTTTCAGAAAATAAAGGATGCTATTGAATTGCATAACACTGCTCGTTGTAGTATCGGTCCTCCTAAAGATGTTGGAGATCTTAACTTTGAAACGCCATCTGTTCCAAAGGATGAACAGTCAGGGTCTTCTTCAACGTAGGACTTTCCTTGATTCACGCAACTGTTTATACTTTTATCTGTTGTGCTCCAATGAACCATGATAGCGAGCTATTTATTATTGTTTCTGTATATGTTCGTTTCCTTCTTGAAAGAATTCTACGCGGTTGCCATCCTGATGCAGTCTTTGTCATCGTTGTTCAAGTTTTGATGTGGTGTACTAAATTTTATATGGAAATGAGTCAAGGTTGTCTTTTTAATTTAGTTGATCACCCTAGTTTTTCCTCGCCAAAGAATAGTTTCGTTACATTTGGAAAATTTATGTGGAATGGATTGCTCATATCAGATAGATTTTCAAAAAAAATCCTGTATTTGTTGTGACAGTGGATACACCGGGGGCATGTTTGTTTGAAAGACAATGGTGGTGGTATAAGAAGGTGGAATTAGTGAAAATAGTACGTGGGGTTTAGTAATACCTGTTTGTTTTTTTTTTTTTTTTTTTTCCGTGTGATATTATTTTTTGGATCACAATACCAACACGCTCATTACGGTCACCAAAACTCATGTACATGGGCTTATATAATACCAAATGGGAGGTGGTATTATTTTTTAGATTTTGGCCACCAACGGTATTAAGGAAGTTAATGATTGAATTACATATCACTTTTTAATATTAGTATGAGATTTGGCTATCAGCGGTTTTTTTGTTTTTTAATTTTATTAATTTTTTTTTTTAAAATTTTGATTTTGATTTTGATTTTTTTTTCTTTATATTATATTTAAGCGTATATATCACGGTTTTTTTTTTTAATTTTTAAAAAAAAATTATTTTGAATTTTTTTTTGATATTATGTTTAANAATGTAGCTTTTGATACATGGACCTGTAGCTAACATTTTCTGGAAAATAACATTTTTAATGAGTATTGACCAAGTATATTTATATAAAAGAGCTTATCCTAGATATTCCAGCCATGGCCATGTCCCCATTTTCAGCTTTGGAAAAAAAGTATTCTGCAGCAAGTCTGTGTTTCAAAATTAATAGGTCTGATAATATATTGTCTTGGGTTTTCAGCTTTGCAAAACTGCTCAGGAACACCCTGAAATCGTATTCCTGAAGGTCAATTTTGATGAAAATAAGCCGATGTGCAAAAATTTGAATGTAAAGGTTCTTCCTTATTTCCATTTTTATCGCGGAGCCGATGGACAACTGGAATCCTTTTCCTGTTCACTCGCCAAGGTACGAAAATATTCTTTTAAACATACTCTATTTTTGGTTAGTTCCCCCCATTTTGATGTGTGTACTTGCCTTTGTTTTCATGTATTTTTAACATCGTGTGAAGCCCTCCAGTTTTATGAAGCCCTCTTTTTAATGCTTCTTTTTTCGGCAATTGGTCAATGTACTCCTTGGAGGGAATGAATAGGTTGTAATTGGAACTTGCGTATTCTTGATGACTAGTTTAACTCTGTGAAAGGGAATGGGACATCAAACAGTTGTGGGTTACATTGCCCAATTTTTAATACTTTTTTTGATCAGTCCCATTTTGGATATGCAAGATATTAGAGATCAAATCAAACCATCATCCATGGATTTGTATCTATTACCAATAAACTAATAGGTCTGCGTGAGGATTGAATTGTGACTGACAGCACTTGCTATGCTTTGATAGTAAAAAGCATAAAAAGATTGACTGCTGATGCTCTGCTTAAATCTCTTTGCAGTTTCAGAAAATAAAGGATGCTATTGAATTGCATAACACTGCTCGTTGTAGTATCGGTCCTCCTAAAGATGTTGGAGATCTTAACTTTGAAACGCCATCTGTTCCAAAGGATGAACAGTCAGGGTCTTCTTCAACGTAGGACTTTCCTTGATTCACGCAACTGTTTATACTTTTATCTGTTGTGCTCCAATGAACCATGATAGCGAGCTATTTATTATTGTTTCTGTATATGTTCGTTTCCTTCTTGAAAGAATTCTACGCGGTTGCCATCCTGATGCAGTCTTTGTCATCGTTGTTCAAGTTTTGATGTGGTGTACTAAATTTTATATGGAAATGAGTCAAGGTTGTCTTTTTAATTTAGTTGATCACCCTAGTTTTTCCTCGCCAAAGAATAGTTTCGTTACATTTGGAAAATTTATGTGGAATGGATTGCTCATATCAGATAGATTTTCAAAAAAAATCCTGTATTTGTTGTGACAGTGGATACACCGGGGGCATGTTTGTTTGAAAGACAATGGTGGTGGTATAAGATGGTGGAATTAGTGAAAATAGTACGTGGGGTTTAGTAATACCTGTTTGTTTTTTTTTTTTTTTTTTTTCCGTGTGATATTATTTTTTGGATCACAATACCAACACGCTCATTACGGTCACCAAAACTCATGTACATGGGCTTATATAATACCAAATGGGAGGTGGTATTATTTTTTAGATTTTGGCCACCAACGGTATTAAGGAAGTTAATGATTGAATTACATATCACTTTTTAATATTAGTATGAGATTTGGCTATCAGCGGTTTTTTTGTTTTTTAATTTTATTAATTTTTTTTTTTAAAATTTTGATTTTGATTTTTTTTTTATATTATATTTAAGCGTATATATCACGGTTTTTTTTTTTAATTTTTAAAAAAAAATTATTTTGAATTTTTTTTTGATATTATGTTTAAGTGGACGATATCATCGATTTTTCAATTTTTTTCTTCGTATTATGTTTAAGCATACAATGTCACTGGTTTTTTTTTTTTAAAAATATTATAAATTTTTTCTTTGTATAATGTTTAACCGTACAATGTCACTGATTCATAGTATCAGATTCTTTATATTTTATGTGAATTTTTTATATTATCTAGAATTTTTTAGGTATGAATTGTCGTACCATATATAACACCAAACATTATGCAAAAACGTTACACAAACGAAATAATGGAATGAATGTGTTAAGGATAAAATTTGTATATTTGTTTATATATAAGATGTGATTAAATAAATAATTATTTATGAAACTTATTATAGTATCTATTGAACTAACAAATCCTCTAGCAAATTAGAATATTTTTTATTACTGATTCGTCAATACCATGCATAGGAATCCTCAAAACAAACATGCCGAGAGGGATAATAGTCCTGCCCTGCACGTGGATTGATGAATTAACATGACATNGCAGAAATTAATGAGTATTTCGTATTCCTACCGAATTTAATCGGAAGACCAAAAACTTTTTTGCATTCCTACCCGATTTTTGCGGCTAACTATTCAGTAGGATAGGATAGGGTCGCGTAGGGTAAGAAATTACAGCCAATCAGAAATTTGAACACCCTTAGTGACAATAGTGCAACAATAATAGTTATCACCCACGCAACATACTCACGCAATAGTCGGAGAATATGATGACAAACGCAAATGCTCAAATGTATGCAAGGAATATCTCCTCTAAGAAGTAGAAAGTCAGAGTAAGGTTCTCAAGATAAAAAATGATGCATCAAGAAGGGGTCCAAGAGCAAATTAAAAATATTCAAACTTGAAGATGAGAAGTTCTTGAATTACCTAAATTAACATGTGATAATTCTCCTTTTGGTTTTATTAAACTTATCCAAATCATGAGTTTATTGGTGGACTATTGATTCTAATTCTTGGTTATTGACTATCTGCTTAATTATTTTTCGTGACTACTAAATAATGTATACCTCCTAATTTATAGTCGACATTTAACTAGCGCGAGAGTTTAAAAACTTGTCTACAAAAGTTGATAAAGACACGACAAATTTGTATGATTTATTGGAGTTCATGATTTTTAACATTAACAATGAGTAATATTTGATGCTCAAAATGGTCCATGTGCAACGCACGTGTGTACTAACTAGTAATAAAAAAAAATTGTATCGTATAACTCACACATTGAAATTTAGAACAAAATGGNCAAAAATTTATATAATAAAATAAGAGTGTGTTTAAATTTTATTCTAGTCATATTTTTTTTCTCAAAATTATCACCAATCACTTATCTCACTATCATCCTTTTGTCAGACTCAAACGTCAAATCATATCATTAATTTTTATCACATATTTAATCATTTATATATTTCCTCTCTACAAATATCACATCACTCATTTTTATCATATATTTAATTATTTAATATTTGATTAATTNATAATAAAAAAAAAATTATACCTTTTATGATAAAATTAGAAAAATAAATTGGTAATTCCTTAGAGTCGTACCTTTATCTTTTGGGAATGCCTTAATTTTGCCGTGAATGATTTATTTTTGATCGAATTAAAAAAAAATAATTAAGGTACGTAAAGCGGTCCAAATATAACCAAAAAATTAAAAATTAAAAAAGCGAATCCAAACTGTGCCTTATTTTGGTGAGTCACAACAACTGCGACGAGGCAAAAACCGAATACAAGCCTTGGTACGATTTGGATCACACAACACCTTCACAGTAAGGTCACCTATACACACTCCTACCACGAGAGAGATAGAGAGACAACAATCAGAATTCAGAAGCTTTCATGGCTTTCACTTTACGCACCTTTCCACTGATGTAGTATTTGATACAGTACCTCTGCTTATTCTGTCTCTCACACTGTTTGTTTGTTTGTTTCTCTGTTCGATGGCTGATGTTGTTCGATTATCTTTCAATTCACTACGGTTCTATTCTTCTCTGTTGACCTCCTTGTCGTCGTCGTCGTCTTTGAATTCTTTCCAACCGAGTCTTCCACACAATCAAAGGTTATGCAAGAAAATTTTCTCCAGTGCCGATTCTTGTTCTGCTACCGTTGATTTTGTCCCTCGCTTTGCCTTCAGTCCCCACAAGCAAGTAAAATCGTTCAAGGTAAAGATGTGAAATTTTTCGAATTTGTTTGTCTTTAACAATTACTATCTGTTTAGTGGCGGAGAAAACGAAGTTCGTACAGTCATAAATTTTGGATTTTTTTGTTAATATTTTGAATTTTAGATCACTTTAAGTTGAAATTGAATGAGAAGATCAATTCTACTAGGCCAATTCGTGGGATTTACCTCAGTGAAGTCGAGATTTTAGTGTTCCCATGTCCGTAGTTACGGAAAATTAAATGTGTAGAAAATATTATCTTTCCTAGAAGCAAGAGGGTTTCCTTTGGCTTTCTTTCCCGATTGAAATTTTGGGCGACCCATTTTTGTCAGAAGTGCTGAATTACGATCATTACTGTACAATTGGGATGTTTTTGTATGGATATTCTAATTTGACATTGAGTGAATGTATGAAATATTACAAATTTTATTTCGAAATGGCCGAAACATATGAAACTTTTATTTTTCCATAGAAACCAAAATGAATCAGTATTTTTGTGGCGTTTTGTTATGATGTTTCAGAATATTTCGCAAATCACTGTTCAATTTTTTTTTTGTGTTTCCAAAATATTTTTGAATCGTTTTCTTTACTAAGCTGGCTGAAACTGTGCAACGAAACGATATTTTGTTTCTTTTCACAGGTTAGGTCTCATTGTAATCTTGGGTGTTTTGCTTGTCAGAGAATGCTGCTTTCTTAAACTATTGTAATTCAGGCAGAATTCAAAAAAATAAAAAGAATTGCTTCATTCTAAAGGTCATACAAACATGGCCTTTCTTTTATCAATTGTTTTGCAAATACCCTCATGAAGACTGAATCTTGTTTGTGTTTTGTTGGTTTTCCTTGATTTTCTTGACATTTAGGTTCTCCTATGGTTTGGTGCATTTATGATTTTACATGTAACTATTCCTTCTTCGAAGCTGATTCATCTTGGTCTCTTGTAACAATTTAATTGAGAGACATGCTTGACCACATTGTTGACTTTTACTGTGGTTCATATGATTTAAAGTAGATAAATTAGCTTGAGTAAAGAACGTAGAACGCTAGTTCAAAAGTATTTTTGAGCCTAAACTTAGACCAAAAGCTCAAGAGTTAGATGTTCTGTCTGCAGGAAGAACAAAAATTGAACAAAATTAATGCTCAGAATTGACTCAAAGGAAACCTAATTTCTGGCCAACTTAGTGTAGATACGTCAAGATTAACTTCGAAATATGTCAGTCAATATGGGCTGTTCATGGCTGGGCATCTGAACTCTCTATGTTGCTCTAAAACAAGAATACCATACCTTCTCCAATTCATCTATGTCTGGTCCCAGCCTGGTACTGTCATCTGGCTCTAAGAGTAAGAGGTTGCCTCCAGTAGAACTTCCATGTTAATTCGTGTGTGTATGGTGGACCATCTTTGACACCCAAGTGCTTACTAATCTAAAACACCGGAAAAGGAGGAAGAGAAGAGTGTAAGATGTTGCTGGCACACTCTTCACTCTTCCTTGGACTCAGCCGCTGAATTTATTCTATCCAATGAATTCCTCTGTGTCTTGGAGTATTAGCTGATCAAAAGAATATCCATTAATATTCATTGTTTCTGTATTCATGAAAATCTAGCAATGACAGCTTTTCCTAAGGTCTTTTATGTTCCTCTGTTGGATTTAGGTACATGCAACTGTTGCTGAAACTGAGCAGCCAAAATGGTGGGACAAAAATGCAGGACCAAATATGATAGATATTCATTCTACACAAGAATTTTTGGGTGCTTTGAGTCAAGCTGGAGATAGACTAGTTATTGTTGAATTTTATGGAACATGGTGTGCTTCTTGCCGAGCATTATTTCCCAAGGTAATTTTAGTTACTTGTCCATTCATCTGTCAATGTCAATATTTTTGTTGATCCTTGACAAAAATATGCCCTCAATGTAGTATATATATTTTGTGCGTTCAATTATTTTTTAAAGCAATATGTCATAGGAATACAGTCTTGAAATGTAGCTTTTGATACATGGACCTGTAGCTAACATTTTCTGGAAAATAACATTTTTAATGAGTATTGACCAAGTATATTTATATAAAAGAGCTTATCCTAGATATTCCAGCCATGGCCATGTCCCCATTTTCAGCTTTGGAAAAAAAGTATTCTGCAGCAAGTCTGTGTTTCAAAATTAATAGGTCTGATAATATATTGTCTTGGGTTTTCAGCTTTGCAAAACTGCTCAGGAACACCCTGAAATCGTATTCCTGAAGGTCAATTTTGATGAAAATAAGCCGATGTGCAAAAATTTGAATGTAAAGGTTCTTCCTTATTTCCATTTTTATCGCGGAGCCGATGGACAACTGGAATCCTTTTCCTGTTCACTCGCCAAGGTACGAAAATATTCTTTTAAACATACTCTATTTTTGGTTAGTTCCCCCCATTTTGATGTGTGTACTTGCCTTTGTTTTCATGTATTTTTAACATCGTGTGAAGCCCTCCAGTTTTATGAAGCCCTCTTTTTAATGCTTCTTTTTTCGGCAATTGGTCAATGTACTCCTTGGAGGGAATGAATAGGTTGTAATTGGAACTTGCGTATTCTTGATGACTAGTTTAACTCTGTGAAAGGGAATGGGACATCAAACAGTTGTGGGTTACATTGCCCAATTTTTAATACTTTTTTTGATCAGTCCCATTTTGGATATGCAAGATATTAGAGATCAAATCAAACCATCATCCATGGATTTGTATCTATTACCAATAAACTAATAGGTCTGCGTGAGGATTGAATTGTGACTGACCGCACTTGCTATGCTTTGATAGTAAAAAGCATAAAAAGATTGACTGCTGATGCTCTGCTTAAATCTCTTTGCAGTTTCAGAAAATAAAGGATGCTATTGAATTGCATAACACTGCTCGTTGTAGTATCGGTCCTCCTAAAGATGTTGGAGATCTTAACTTTGAAACGCCATCTGTTCCAAAGGATGAACAGTCAGGGTCTTCTTCAACGTAGGACTTTCCTTGATTCACGCAACTGTTTATACTTTTATCTGTTGTGCTCCAATGAACCATGATAGCGAGCTATTTATTATTGTTTCTGTATATGTTCGTTTCCTTCTTGAAAGAATTCTACGCGGTTGCCATCCTGATGCAGTCTTTGTCATCGTTGTTCAAGTTTTGATGTGGTGTACTAAATTTTATATGGAAATGAGTCAAGGTTGTCTTTTTAATTTAGTTGATCACCCTAGTTTTTCCTCGCCAAAGAATAGTTTCGTTACATTTGGAAAATTTATGTGGAATGGATTGCTCATATCAGATAGATTTTCAAAAAAAATCCTGTATTTGTTGTGACAGTGGATACACCGGGGGCATGTTTGTTTGAAAGACAATGGTGGTGGTATAAGAAGGTGGAATTAGTGAAAATAGTACGTGGGGTTTAGTAATACCTGTTTGTTTTTTTTTTTTTTTTT